TGTAATTTTTTTTTATTATTATTGTTTTGGGGATCACCTACAAGAGTGGTCTTCATATGTGCTTTTTATTGTATAACAATCCAAGTCAGATTTGTGTGTGTGCATGTTGGTTCGCAGAAGTTGCGCGTTAAGAGCAAGTGCTAAAAGTAGCAAAGGAAACATGAAATTTCCTGTTTTGCTAAGACCTGTAGCAACTGCCCAGCTCTCGGTATCATAGAGGGGGGTGGCGGTGGTGTGGTTTTGCTCCATGCCGAGTTCTCAGAGGCAGTTTCAGCAGGATGTAAGGGATTGCTGTCGTGTTCATTTTTCATGTGAAATATTACCCTAGCAGTTCACAGTCATTTATGTGATTAGATTCCTTTGTGTATGAAAAATATACAAAAATTAATAATAGAAATAAAACATTTTATATCATGTATTATTAAAAACTATAAAATATATAATTAATAATTAAATATATATAATTTAAAAATGCATAACATACACTATTGTATAACTAAAACACAAGATACTAAAGTGCAAAGTAAAGGTGATCATGTGGCCACAGTGAGTATCCACATTGACCAATGCAATAATTTATTGTGAGACTTCTCACTGCAGGGATCATCAGGGTTAGACCACTAAATCTTAACCACGCTGTCTAGCACATCAGCCTACGTGGGATTTCTCATGGTTCTGTGGCACAAACCTTATGACAAGAAGACAAAAGGAAAGCTAAATGTCAGTCAGGCAGTGAGCATGGGAACCTGTCAGTGTGTGTGAGTGAGAGTGTGTGTGTGTGTGTGTGTGTTGTACACTGAGAACCATGTGTGCATGTTAACCCAGAGTGTAACCAGAATACCGCTGTGGTGTTTCTCTAGGTCATGGCGGTTTGAACAGAGAATGAGCGAGAAAAAGAGAAACTAGGGAGTATAGTCACAGCAGGCATGGGCTCAGAGGCACATCTGCCATAGTTTGGATCCAAGTACGTCCTGAAAACTCTGTATTTAAAATGGGTTGGGGGAAGTAGTAGTGTAATGGATATAACGTCATTATTTAAAGTAAGAATAAAAGATGAATTATTGTCAGAATTTTCTCCAAAGAGTAGTATACTTAAAACAGAATTATGTTTAACCAAAAAATAAAATTAACCAATGTGCAGTTTTCCTCTGAGAGAATCTGAAACTACTTTGATCGAAGTTTGGTATGAGAAAGCGAACGTTATGTCACTGCTTCTTATTGTCAGTATATACTGTCAGTGTTTTTCTATTTCATTTTCATTGTGAATCATTTTATTTGTGCCAGAGGCAAATCTCGTGAAGTGGTTGAATGTGGTATGGTGATGTGTCCAATAAAACCAACCCTCAAAGAACCTAGTGATTTGATATTTGAATGAGGAACTGGACTGATTAAAATGAACAAGAAATAAACACACACACTTTCAGATTCATACCAGTGTTTTTGTCACTATGGTGAGCAATTATAAAATAACATGAAATAAAGGGTTAATTGGGATGTTTGATTAACAAAAAATGTATCTCTATCTATCTATCTGTCTATCTGTCTGTCTGTCTGTCTGTCTATCTATCCATCTATCTGTCTGTCTGCCTCTCTCTCTGTCATGGTATCATGTACATTGTTGTTTTTTTGGACATAAACTATGATATTATTTAAAGTATGCTGGAGTACCATCTAAATATTTATATGGTAATTATTTATTTAGTTTATATCATAGTAGCCTAGGCCTATACCCTTGTAACGCCACAATCATTTTTGTAAAAGGTTTGAGCCTTAAGATCAAAGATTTTTAACTTGTAAAGTCCAAAGGACTAAAAAAAAAAAAAAAAAAAAAAAAATCTATTGGTATAGTATACATTACAGAGGTTGCGATGTAGTCTTTTTTCCCTATATTGTGACATATAGCCTATCTGAGTGAAACGACTTCACGAACAAGAAAAAATGTAGGGCGGGACCGGGCGGGCGACTGCTGCAGGGATTATGTACAGATTATGTACAATTGTACATAAAGTCATCACACTAGGTCTCTTGCAAACTATTCAATAGGGAGACCTTTGTAAATAATAATAATATACAGACTTTCACGTGCTCACGAGAAACCTTCGCGTTCTCGAGCAGGAGATACGTTTCTCGTGTTTATTTTTGCAAAGGTCCCTTTAGGGCTCCATAGTAGGCCACGCACACTTTCAGGGAGAATGTTTTTTTTAATAAAGACTGAAAGAGTTTGAAGCTTGGTGGTGGTGACTTTGAAGTCGAGTGACCATGGTGTAAGCTAATAGCCTAAATTGAGCTTTTTATTTCTGGCTAGTGAGTTCCTCACTATTATAAACTTAATGAGCTTATTTTAGTGATAATTCAAAAGCATACAGAAAAATCCAAATGGGTTTTTGTTGAGGGAACCAGTGTGATGCTAATTTCCGGGTTGGCCTACAAAAAAGTCATTACTGTAACGTTAGCAGAATGTTGTAATCCAAAATAGAGGGAATGCATTAACGTCACTTCCCCGCCGGAACACGCCCCCCTCAGCGGGACTGAGTGGCAGAAGAGCTGCTGCGTGACTGGAGTTAATAGGGGAAACTGCGAAAACGCGAGTAAAACAAACTATTAACAGTTTAAACTAAAAGTTGGACTTGATATAGTGTTCCTTACAACTTATCAAAGATCCAGTGATCCATGGATATTGACATGCTGCCAGGAATCGTGTTTCCTGACATTTATATGTGCCTGATTTCGACGCCGGGGAAATAAATGAAGACAATTTGCCTGTAAACGTTTTATATAAATACAATATAGATAGGTCTAAATCCGAGTGATCACTTACATTAATGTTATACTGTATATCATCATATCGTCCAGCCCTAAAACTTGTATAGTTTTTTGTCAGTGTTTATTTAAAAACATCCAATTATGCAGAATATAGTCTGTTCTGTAGCTTTTTGCAGTCTGTAAAAATATACAGTACCTCAGATTTCTGGTCAAATCTAGTTGTACAGTCAATCACAAGCTCTTTCCCGTTTTAGATGTGTTTTGTGTGATTTTCACGGCATTCACGCTGAAAACAAATGCTGCCGCTCAGTCTTTTTGCCACTTGTGGGCGTGACCGCATTCACTCCGGCCGACGGTGACGTCATGCGCATACCCTCTATAGTACAAAAATAGTAATCCAGTCATTACCATTGATTGGATTGTTGGATCATTGTGGTTTGCTATTGGTCGATCTAATGTGAGTCCCGCCCTCACGCTACCAAACACGTCAACAGAGAAGTTGCTGCAAGAGGAAGGGGGAAGTTAATTTATTTAATAAGAAATGATTGCGATAGCACATTAATTTAAAATGAGCACGGAACAATCATATCTAGCCTAAAAAATACTGCAATATTCCATAAAAAAAGAAGTGTCAATTTTAATTTAATGGTGACTTTAACATTATTCTGGCTTGAATTGTTTTATGCAGAAGGAGAAAGAAGCACTTCACAGGTCAGCTCTCACATTGTTTCGGGAAGGAACTGAACATGCCCTCTCGGCATGTGAGGCTGAGTAACGGACAGCAAGTAAACGCCTGCTGAGCATATGCTGCTGAGCCACAACAGCACAGGAAGTCAACAGCCTGTTTAGCACAACTTCCTCTTAACCCTCCCCTCGCTGACCATCCACGCACTGTTTACACAAGACAAGAGCAACACCAACACATGAGCTGCTCCGCTCCGTCATCCTCACCATACAGCAAGTCATAAACAACAACATGTTATATACATAACGACGCATGATTTTATTAAACAACGAGGATCGAGTTACTTTTTTGATTATTTTTACTCTGTTCAATGAAGATAAGTATGTTAAAAAAAATAAGCTACCTATAAAGGCAAACAGGTAACGTAACGTCAACTGTTACATTTAAGAATATTACCAATAATAGTCTATGTGTAACTTTAAGGCACTTTCCGATTCAAAAAGGTTCATTTAGAAACCTAAAACTATTACCGAGTGAAAAGCCTGACCTCTACTGTCATTTGAGGAAACGGTCATTTATATTTCAACAATGTTGTGTGCGAAATGGCATACTACTGCATTTAATTCTAGAAAATAGTATGTGAAACAGTATTATGCAACCATAAAATGCTGCATTGTTTATTGTTATCCTCATGTTTAAGTCAGAAAGTGGCCTCCAGTTGAAATCTTTCAAATAAAAACTGCTATTTTTTTATTGAATGTCTTAACATGAATATAAGAAAATTATCATGTCATCTATTATACTGTATACTGCAGAAATGGATTAAATTAGTGTCATATTCCAAACATGAAATGAATAGCAATAGCAAACATGAAACAAGTGTGCACAAAATGAGACAATTCAGAATCAAAACACAGAAGGGTAAAAAGTCTACACATTTTTATTATGAAATGAAAACATTGTTTATAAATCTATGATAGTAATCAGAATTTAAGCAGTTAGATAACCTGTGCTTTTGTAGTTATAAATGTAAAAAAAAAAAAAAAAATAGATAGATAGATAGAGGATGGCATAAATGTGTAAAATTAGCACTCATCTTTTTTTGCTTTAAACAATTTAAAAACATCAACCTGAAGACGATTGTAAGGCACATGGGTATACAAAAGTAGTTATCAGTAAAGAGATTTTGTTTGTATCATGAAATTAATAACTTGGATCATAATTGGATGTATCCATTCCTTACCATGCGCTTTTTGAAAACTGCATGAATATAAAAAGGACAGTTTCATAATTGATTACAGGAAAGGCTGTCTGCGTGCAAATAAAGCATTTTCTTTGTGTGCTCAAACTTTTTAACACAATGAAGAGTAAACTGCAGAAGATAATAATTGAGGCCCATGTCAGCTACGATGTGGCTGCATAACCCTGAAAATAAATTATGGCATATTCATATCTCCACTCCTACAGGAATTGCTTTGAAATGTTCTAGAACCTAATAAGAGTTCTTGTACATAATGGAAGACACTTTAAAAATTCATAAAAAAAGACAAACCAGTCTTAATACTTTCTTGTTGTAAACACATGTAAATACTCAAATGATAAGTCACTCTTGGAGTTTTTGTATAATAACAAGGCATGTTGGCAGTAAACATGTCACATCAAAAGCATTTAAAAAATAATTCTGCATTAATTCATTTGTAAACAGTCTTCCGGTTAGAACCTCTTCCCATACTGGGACTGCAAGACGTCACATCCAATGAAATACTGTTGCATGTGAGCAGCACAAGACGTCTCGTTTGCATATACGGTACAAAGCACAGCTGGATTACACTATACCGATCTGTTTTGGTTCCAACAACACTCGTTTTCTTTTAATTTAGCAGCTCCAAGTAGGTAATGGGCACTTTTCCCTTCTGAGTCCCACGTTCCCCCATCAGCCAATCAGAGTCCATGCCTGGAACGCAGCTCACCATGATCACCTGAAAGAAAAAGGACATGCAATTACACTAGGAATTCAAACCAAGAAAGAATTATTCAAAATCATCGACACACAAGTGGGCCGCCTACCTCATCGGCCAATAAGGAGAGCTCGTTGCTGCCCGCGGCGTCGTAATCGTACAGCACTCGCGCTTTACGGCTCCCGGTGAAGTTCTGCAGCTCGGTGAAACCTGAAGACGCATTGCCTGTGGTGGAAGGAAGAGGGGCTGACAGTGGCAGGATGGGTACGGAGACACTGGCCCCGGCGCTGGCCGTCGACTGGTTGTTGTTGGAAGAGAAAGCCGAAGGGAAGCTGGAGGGGAAAAAAAATCCAGTTGAGTTAAATAATAATTGAAATTATTCTAAAACAGAAAAAAATTACTGATTATGTCTTACTTTCCCAACTGCTTTTGGAGGTCCACCATGTACTGGTAACACTGGGCGTAATATGTCATCTGAGCCTCCACAAAGTCATTTAGGCAGCGGAGATGATGGGCCTGGGGAAGAAAGAAGGTTGGGAGAGAGATGATATGGTCAGACATTGGGTTTTTCGAGTAAAACTGAGGGTTTGTGAGATGTGGATTGGCAGGAGGCCCAGTGAGCGCTCACATGTGTACTGCTGATTCCTTCCAGAAGAAGCCTGGTGATTTCTGCCTGTCTGTCAAACTCACTCTGTGTCATCTTCAGATCCTGCTCGGCCTGAAAGAGAGTGGGAGAAATAGTCAAGGAATGCTTTACTGATTCAGCTTAAAGTCGGCATTAAACGGAAGTTGCGATAGTGTTTTCTTCCCTATTGTGAAGTATATCCGAGTGAAACGGCTTCTTGAACAAGGAAAAATCAAATGTAGAGCGGGAATTGATATTGACCAGGATATGAATATGCATTTTTTTTTATAAAACAGTAGGTGCAAAATACCTGGATGACATTCTGCTTCTGCTGAGATTATGAAGTGATTACAATACGAGACAATAAGTGAATTTAGATGCAGTATTGCTCACAGTTTTTAACTAAAACTGTTAAAAAATGTTTTTTTTTTGGTAATTGTAATAAAGCTGATATTAAATTAAATTAAATATAAATATTAGTTTAAATCTTAAAACATTTAAACAAAACAACTGAAATAAAAAAATTTAAGTACTAAAATTACTGAAACTGAAATGGTAAATAAATAAATATGACAAAAGCACAAAATGATCTTAAAATGAAAACTGGAAATATAAACAGTAATATAATAGTATGGGCATATAACGCAGGTATGGGCATTATAATGATAAAAGTAAATAACAATTAAAAAAAAACAATAGAGATATCACATAAACTAGTCAACAGAAAGCAAGTTTCATGCAAGATCTTTTGAGTGGACCTTGAATCTACTTTGTCTTTTTGTATTCAGTTTGCAAGCTAACAGCCTGCTAGCTTAGCCTCCTAGCTTAACACAGTTAATTTTTAATAAATTAATGTTTTGATTAGCCATCAGGCATTGAGGAATCTTGCATAACACCAGAAACATAAAATGTTGGAAATTACAGGCAAAGAAAAAGCCGTGTGAACACAGGCAATACTGCCTAACTGATACACAATTTCCAGTTTTTCACTGAAGAGAGAAACTCATCACGACACACACTGTAGTTTTCACATTAGCGCCAAGATTCACAGATGATCCAAAATGGCAGAACATTCTCCTTACCTTTGTCACTTCCTCTGCCCACATCTGCACAGCATTTGAAAACAGCAATAATATATTTAGAGATAAAACTGAGGATTAACACTTGAACATCTACACAGACTACAGCCACAACATTAGCAGCTAGCATAGCATCACTGAGGAAAATTTAGCATGGTAACCCAAGTTTCAACCAAAATACCAGTTACTATAGTCGTTGTGACAAAAAAAAAAAAAATGCATGTGATTTCTTTCAAACGGATACTTTCAGAGTCATTTTAATTTTTTTATTTTGATTACAGTGATGCTAATACCAAGTTAACAGTTTTATTGTGCTAACAAGAATCATAATATGGTATTTTGTCAAAAACTATGGTTAGCATGATTAAGATTGCAACACAAATCACTGCTGTCGCAGGGAACATGAACTATTTGCAGCAATTGACTAAGAATTACTTGCTCACTTCACTGTATCGACGCAAACTAAACACTTCCCATTTTGGAAGAGGGCAGCTGTTTGTTTGGGTACTAATGTGTGTATGTGGGTGTATATATATATGTGTGTAGGTTGAGTGCTGGACATGAGGAGACAATCTTGAAGCACTTCTTTACTTCTCTTGTGAAACTGGGGCCAAGGGCGAAGAGCAGTTTTGAAATGTCATCACGATGTTGAGCAAACATGGATATCCTCTTTCCAAACTCTATATGCACAAAAAAAGGAACCTGGAAACACACACACTGCTAATATCCGGGACAAAAGAGCTTAATCAACAACTTAAAGAGGAACAAGTATGTCTTAAAGGTGGATCTTCTAAAGCAGAGTGGAACTTGGCACTGGAGAGAAACACACGCAGACCAACCTTTAGCCACTTTACATGGAGAAAATTCACCATGAAGGAGAAATTGGCAACATAGCCAGCGTCCCCTGGTGGAGGGGTAGATCCGAGAGGCTTTCGTGTGCCGACACAAAAACAAGAGACAGTACAGAGCTGCGTTTAGGAAAAATGGCAAGTGCCATCTCTGATTACTAGTTTCTGGGCTGTAGCTTATATTTGCAAAGAATTTCCAGTAGGAAATTCTGTGACATTACATCATATTTAAGGGGAAAATGCCATTTTAATTAGTGTAGAAGCAATGATGACTCACCAGAGCTCTGGCATCAGCCATTTTGGCTTTCTTTAGCTTGGTCTTTGCGGCATCGAGGTCCAGTCGTTTGTTCTGAAGCAGTTTACGCTCTTTCTGTAAAGAAGCAGAAGAGTTTGTTTGGTTAAAGTTGGGATGAAATGATGCACGGATAAATCATTTATGTATAGCAAACACTGAAATATTCCATAAAAAATAAGGAATTTAAAGTTAAATTTGCACTGTTAAAAACTCTCTGACATTCTTTAAGCTAAACCTGTTATAGCTTCACATTAAAATAGCGTGGTTTTTTATTCATTAAAGTAACAACAGGTAACTTTTCAGCCTTCATAATATATTTCCAAGTCTCTTGTGATGGTACATCGACTTACAATAGGTTGAATGACACGTCTGCCATAGCCTGACGGGGTCTGTAGCGTTTTTAATCGTACTTTTAAACTTCGGGTTTCGGGTAGTAACCGGCGAACAAAGAGAACTACAAAATTCGACTGCTTTACGGCATATACGTCACTTCCACCACCACCCCCACTTCCTTAAAATCGGACTTGCGAGCCAAATGTTATAGTCATGGCCGAAGCAGCACAGAAAAACAAGAAAGCAAAGGTTTTATCGGAGCAAAGCAAAAAGAGAAAGTGAAGGCAGTTCTGCCTGTTAAAGGCAGAACGAGGATCAACATTGCAGAGCTGCCAACTCTCACGCATTGACCGTGAGACACCCGCATTTGATTGGTTTCACACGCTCACACCCCCGGTTTCTCAAGCTAAATTGTCAACCCGGTCGGTCAAATGCCTGAAAGATGAGTTTATCTATAGATCTCTACCTGTTGAGCCACTCGTGATCGACAAGTTATACCGCAAATTAGTTCAAATCTCCCGGAATCTAGAGCGAGCGCGCACACGAGACAGAGACTGTGCTCCAACGCGCGCGGACGGCAGAGAGAGAAAGCGAGCGAGAGACCTTGCGTGTGCAGGGAGCATCGAACCCCCCATCGAAAAAAGAGTGCCTCTCTCTAACCTCTCTAATTCGCTAGAGTAGTAGCGAATTATCAATCTGGTAGCTAGTAAACGATATTCTAGTTTTTGATGGTTAGCTATCGCTAGTATTCTCGTTCTGATTTGAACTTTGCAATCGATGAAATGCAAATAGCAAATGTTTGACCTAAAAAGTGTAGTCTACTCAACATGTACAAAGAAAGGAGGAAGATTATTAATAAAATCATATTTTAGGATACCTAACATGTCTGTGATATTTGTTTATTTGTCTTGCCTCAAGCTATAATGCAAATCGATTTGTAAAATTTGCAGATTCATTTATGGTAGCTTGATATTATAATATTGACGATATATGGTTATTATCAACCACTCAAACATTGCATTGAAGTATCATATAGATTCAGTAAAACGGTAACCAATAGACTAGGCTACTATAATGACGCTGGCTTGTAAACGTGAGCATCGCGATCATTTGTCGTTAGAAAAAAAAAAAAAAAAACATGAAATTATATTCATATGACATGCTGAAATATATGCCACTGTACCTGGGATGAAGACATTTCACACGCGATGCAAGCAGAACACCTGCATGTGACCTCCTCCTACAGTGTTCAGGGCTATCATGGTTGTCAACAAATGCACGTGCATGTAGGATGACAGTTTACGACAGTAGTAGAGGACAATACTGTTTCCCAACTGTAGGGGGAGCCCGAGAGCAAAAAACGACCTGTTGTTACTTTAAAATTAATTTCGTTTTTTTTGTAGTTTCAATGGCAAAAAAAAAAAAAAACACATTAAACCCAATTCAGAAATATTATTAACTTTTAAAAATTACCTTTTCTATTTTCATATAGAAAAATTAATTAGTTTATCCATGTTATGCAAAGCAGAATTTTTCATGATCCTTCTAATATGCTTATTTGCAGCTCAATAAACATTTATTATTACTATCAATGTTGAAAACAGTTGTGCTGCTGGAAACATGATATATTTTTTTCAGGATTTTTTAACTTTTGATCGGAGGTGTATATAGCCATGTTTCTAAATAATATCCACCTTATTTTTCAACACAGAAGTAAGCTATTTTCTGTAAATGTGTGAGACTTTCAATTCATTAGCCGCTATAGGGAAATAAGAATAAAAAAGTGCAGTAAATGGCAAAAAAATTGTGCTACAGACCAGTGTATTTATAATAATAATTATAACAATACATTAACATAACACTGTAAGAAATAACAGTTTGCAATATCAAGCAGAATAATAAGCTGTTTTGTACAGCTAAAAATAACCGAAGCTGATTAGGCCGGACACATTCAAATTTACAAATGGCCTCGGCCACACTTACGTGAAAAATAAGGTAGGTATGTTTCAGAAATCAGTGTTTCAGTTATTAGGGTTGCCCGATCTTACCAATATAGTCTTGAAGTCTCCTTCTAAAAAGTTGCGGAAAGGCGTGAGGAAATTGATGGCAGAGCTCTGAATGAACTCTCGCTCCGCTCCTCCAATCTGCTTCTCCGTCTCGCCACACTTAATCAGAGCGTTTCCTGTAGACAGAAACGGACCAACTGTATACTAATTCAATATCCTCAAGATGATCTTTGTTAGATGTCTAGAGGCCATTCACAACTAGTGAACAGTCTACTAGTGTTTTAGTAGGTGTTTACATTCAAGCAAGGGGAAATGGGGTACTGTTAATGGACTACTATTATTGAATGAGGTACTATGGGTACTATGGGTTATCCCAGTGGTCTCCAACATGGTGCCCGCGGGCACCTGGTAGCCCGCATGGAGAGTCGCCCGCCGAACACATTCTATAAATAGCCTGAATTGTAATCTTTCATTTATTTTTTATTTATGATGATGCCATAAAATGAGAAAATAACTAATGGTAACATTTCATATACCATTAAAACATAATAAAATAATAAAATAATTTAAAATATTTAGAATCTGCACGTCGAGCACGTTTAAAAAAAACAAAAACGTAACGTAACTTCTGTGAGTTGAGGCGGTCGCGGGCAGACGGTACATAGCCTACATAAGATAAATTGAACTATAAAAAAGAAAAAAAGATTAATTATGGCTGATGATGCAGGTCATGCAAAAAAGAAGAAGACTTATTATTTTAACGAGGAGTGGGAGACAGAATTCCTCTTCACTAACGTTAAAGATAAAGCTGTATGCCTCATCTGTGGTTGCCAAGAGACACAATGCGGAGAGACATTTCACCACAAGACCTTCAATGTTCATTATCCACCAGGTACATCACTTAGAAAAGAAAAAGTTAGTGAGATGAAAACAGCATTAAGCAGGCAGCAATCATTTTTTTTACAAAACCCGCTAAAAAGTCACAGGCTGCAACCGAAGATTCATTTAGAGTTGCTCATTTTTTAACGAAACAAAAAACCTTTCTCTGATGGTGAAATTGTCAAGGGAGCAATGACTGTGATAACCAACACTCTGTTTAAAGATCACAAGAATGGAAATGAAATAATGTCCTCAGTCTCCGATGTTCAACTTGGGGCTAACACTATTGCGAGACGAGTCTCGGCTATGTCAGCGAACGTAACGGAGCAGCTGGAGAAAGACTTGGGTTCGTGCAAATGGTTCTCCATCCAGTGTGATAATTCTGTGGATTCTAGTAGTACAGCGCAGCTCATGGTTTTCATCAGAATGGTATTCAGTGATTTGTCAGTGAAAGAGGAATTTTTAACATTACTGCCCCTCAAGACAACAACGAGGGGTGTTGATATTTATGAAGCGGTGAAGAAGTACTTCGTGGAAAAGAACGTGCCATTTGAAAAGTTGGCATCGGGAACAACAGATGGAGCCCCTGCAATGACTGGCCAGCATGCAGGCTTCATTGCGCTATGCAGAGGAGACCCAGATTTCCCAAAGTTTCTAAATTACCACTGTATTATACACCAACAGGCACTGTGCGCCAAAGTGATGGGATTTGATCACGTCATGACTCCAGTCGTTAAAATCATTAACAGCATCCGGTCCAAAGCGAAACAGCACAGGTCATTCAAGGTACTTCTGGAGGAGCTGTCAGCTGAATATGGTGACCTATTGCTTCACACAGAAATTCGATGGCTGAGCAGAGGAAGGATTTTGCAACGTTTTTTATCCCTTTTGTGTGAAATCAAAGTGTTCATGGAATCCAGAGGGGAGGACACCTCCATGCTTCAGGACACTGAGCGGCTACTGGACCTTGCCTTCCTAACTGACATCACTGTGAAACTGAATAATTTGAACTGTGAACTGCAAGGCAAAGGTAAGACAATCAGTGAGATGATCAGTGCTGTAAATGCTTTCAAAGCCAAGATCAGCCTTTTCTCCACGTACTTGCAGAGGAAGAAATTGCATCACTTTCCATCCATGCAGTCGATGCTAAGTAAGTAACAATGATTCTGCATCTGAGGTCTTTGACAGAGCATTACACAATTACTTTGAACTACTGAAAAGGCTTGGACAAGAATTTGAGGACAGATTTAATGACTTTGATAGTCTGGGACCATGCGTGTCATTCATTGCAAATCCTTTCATGCAAGTGGACATTTTGCACATTTCTGAAAAACTAAGTGATGCGTTTAAACTGGTTTCTAGTGAGGTTGAGATGGAGATTCTCACTCTGCAAAGTGACATTAACCTCAAAGCCCATCAGGGGGCAACAGACTTTTGGAAACTTGTTGACCCAGAGAAATACATTAACATTTCCACAGCAGCGATGAAAGTTGCCTGTCTTTTTGGCTCAACTTACCTGTGTGAATCTGCATTTTCAGATATGAATTTTATTAAGAACAAACACAGAACACGCCTTACTGATGGACATTTGGAAGACTCAATTAGAGTTACAGTTTCGGGTTATACTCCCGATTATAGGGCACTTGTGGACGTTATGCAATGCCAAGCTTCCCATTAAAAGGTAGTTGTTGTTTTTTTGCCCATAAAAGCAGGCTGATTTGGCCTATTTATTGTTGTAAGTGTGACAAATAACTCTTGACATTTTGTATTAAAATTGTGTTTAAATGTGTTCAGTGTAATGGGATCTACAGAGAGAAAATTATAAATACAATTATAATTGTAAATCTTTTATATAAATTCCTATAAATAGGATTGATTGATGAATAAAAAATAATCTAATAATTAATAATAATTTAAAATGCTTGTGAGAAATGATTTACATTTATTAAGCCATGATGTCAATATTCATTTCATTACTTAGACATATTTTGGTGATTAAAAGTAAAGTGGAAAAAGTGCCACAGTGTTTATGTTTATTTTATGACATATTTTAAAAATGAGAAATTGTTTATTTTTATATAAAAAATTGCATTTCTTTCTTTTTGCTCTATCGAAAACGTACCGAACCGTGTCAGCACTGTATCATATTGAACCTAACCGTGAATTTTGTGAACCGTTACACCCCTAATATATAATTATAAATTCAATTGTCATAGTATTTAACAATATTACTCTTTGTTGTTGTATTTTTCAAAACTTGAAACGGGTGTGTGTGTGTGTGCGTGTGCCTATATCAAACAAGTAGCCCTCTAGACTATTTTATTCCTTCAGGGAGCCCTCACTCACAAAAAGGTTGGAGACCCCTGGGTTATCCACTATGCTGCCTGTGTGTTTGGTGCTTACCGTAGGCTGTTCCAGGCCCAGATTCATTCCCAGAGTCGATCATGGATTCCCCCAGAAGCTCATGGTTGTTCATCCGTGTTGGGGCCTTCTTGTCTAGTTTTTCATAGAAGAATTCTTCTATTCTGACATCTGAAAATGCAGGTAGTATGAATAACATTACAATACAAAAACCTATGTTACATATTAACTCTATAGTATTGATCAATGCCACATAAAATTCATATATATATTCATTATTTGACTCATTTCAATATTTACGTGTAAAAAGGGTACTGTATTTACTGTAAAAAGTGGTAAACTGTTACCTTATGGAGCTAGTTCTACTTGATCAATTATAGAATGTTGGTAACCAGACCCCAACCCCGATGGACCCCATTGATTCCGTAGTATTTTTTTGTTTTTGTTTTTAGGTTTGGAACAACTTGAGGGTGAGTATATGATGACAGATTTTTGGGTGAACTTTCCCTTTAACTAATGAGACCTTATTGTAATGTGTTACCAGTTTTTCCCCCCTTCTTTCCAGACATGACTAACAACAATAATAATTATATTTAAGAAGTAAAAATAATTAAAATAATTCCCAAATAATTCAAATAATTAAATACTACAGCACCATGGTTGCATGCTTAAAAAGCTATCTCTAAATACAAAAAAGAAGAGTAAAGGAATGTGATTTTCTAGATGTGATTGAGTAGACAGGTGTGTGCTAGATCTGTGTTTTGATCAGCTGTTTGTTCCCTCCTGTTGTGCGAGTGTTTTTCTGTCCTGCTGATATTTGAAAGTGGTGTGGCACCATAGTGAGGCTCTAACAGCTGTAGTTATAGTTACAGACTTTCTGACATTTCTGTGAGATTTGAACATGAGGAAAGAGTAATGGATGGGTTCCAGAGAAGAGGAACCTTCTAAGAGAAATATAATTAAATTATACATATAAAGGTCGAAACATATAACAAACACTAGTAGTAGTCCTCGAAATCTTTCCATGGGGTAAAATAATTAACCGCTCATTAGTTGAAGATGTCAAAGCTAATGAATCATCTAATCACTGCATGGATCTTACTTGGGTTTGGCTGCAGTAACACTTCTGTCTGCTTCAAAATCTTCTCTGTCCATTGTTTAGTGCATTCAGCTCTGGCGAGGAGATTCTCCAAATGTGCATCCAACTCTGTCTTCTCAGCCTGGCCAAATTTTTCTTCTGTGAACTGTATATGAAGACAGCAGGCATTTAAAAAAAAAGTTTGCCCATATTACTGCCACAAATATATTAAACAAGGTAAAGTGTTATCACATGTAATAGCTTCCAATGTTCAACATTTTGATGTAGTTACACATGCAAAAATATATCTAATAAATCAAATGTGTGTGTGTGTATCTATATTATATATACACACACACACACACATATATAAACACATATTTGTGTTTATAAAGTATACCTTTATACACTAAAAAGTGGGCCAATTTAGTCCCAAGTAGTATTGAAACAGTTACAGTACACTTAAAAGTATAGCCTTCTAGTAAATTGATAGTATTTTTTTACTGGATAAAGTATACTTAAAAAATTTACTTGAACTTTACTTAAGTATAGGCTACTTAATAAAATTAACTTAAAGTATTCTTATTTTTGGTAAAGGCTCCCAAAACGAAAAGCCTAGTGCTCAAACTAATGTAAAACAAATTTATGCGCAGTTTTCACATCATAATAGTAAGTCGACAGCGTTTTGAGGCATCATTGACGTGTATTTTTTCCGCATCATCAACATGACCATCTCTATGATGATGGATAAAAATACTCTCTGGCTAGACAGCTCAGTAGGTTTGAAGACACAGCCTTTGTGTTTTTGTGCTGAGCTCTGCCGGATTAAACTCTAACGTTGCTTTAGCCCGTTAGCGTTAGCCTCACAAGCTGAATCTGGACAAAATTTAAAATGGTCAGTGTGTATTTTGACCATATGACAAAGTATGCATGTCTAATCAACATTACAGAGCCTTTAATGTTTGCTTTTGCCATAAAATCAAGAAATGATGATATTTCACTGCTAAATCGATAGAGCACGCGAGAGAAAGAAAGGCCCTGAATAAGAGAGAAAGAGAAAGAAAGATACAGAAATACAACATTGGAAATCTCTTAAAGCGTCTTAACATCCAAAATGCCAGTGTTTATGATACAAGTGTCGAAATAAAACCTAAATAAAAACTTTACGCATCTTTACAGCGAATCTGAATCTTCACTTACTTGCACCGCCCGACTGAATAAAGTACCAGCGTCCGCTGCCAGTCTTTTCACGTTAAAGTCCATCTTTAACTTTTCAATATAAAACTATTTATTAAAATAGTGCGCACGTCAGAATTGTGTAAATAAACGTGTTGACATCAATGTTAGCCTTTATTACACCGGCTGGGTTTTTTAGTGTGAAAGGATGACTGAAGTAACAGCCGGAGAAGAGGAAGATCCACCCACGGATCTGATTACTGCGAGCACAGAATCGGACCTGGACCTCGAGAAGTGTCCGGTATAACCGAATGGGTCCATATGTGTGCACCTTCATCATTATACACTCTGAAACTCTTTCGGGACTTCAAACGGAAGCATTTTCAGCAACATGTCGCTTAGAGATCGGGATATTTTGTTTTAAGGCCCAGCCTCAGCCTGCCATGAGTCAGGATTGTTGCTAATTGCTTCAGGTTTGGATGAAGTTTTGTCTTAGGTATTTTCCACATGCTTTTAGTTTTACTCTTTCAGTTAGTTAAACTTTAATCAGGTTGTGTGTGTAACTGTATGGTATTTATGTGTGCATAGCGCCCTCTATGGGTCCAAAAAAGTAAGTCCCGCCCATCCGTAAAACTCCAAGTGGACCTCTAGGTTGAAAAAGCGTCAGTGCAAGTGAATGAGAGAAAATAATTATTTTCTGATCCCGTTTGAATTGTGCCATGAATGTGAACATATGTTGTCTGTGAATTTTTTATATAATTTCTCATGTAACGAGTTTGACAGTATATTGTATGATTCTTTGGCTAGCAGTTGTGGAATAGACATAACGAGAAAGACTACACGTCGCATATGTGACGTCGCAGCATAACACATTTTCCCTCCACAAATCACGGTGCGATAAACTAAGGAATTAGATCGAGATGCCTGTGTGTTTTGTACCCAAATGTCACCATTCAAACAAAGGCATGTTTAGCGGGATCCGTGTGCTAGTGGTGGTGACGTATATCAAGCGCGTCGAAACGAAAGCAGCGAAGAGTTGTAGTCCACAAAGTGCTCTCACACAAAGTCTAAACGTATGAAAATTCTACCCGCTAAATTGTAGCATTCTTTACACGAAAAATTATATAAAAAATTCACAGACAACATATGTTCACATTCATTGCAAAATTCATACGGGATTAGAAAATAATTATTTTCTCTCATTCACTTGCATTGACGATTTTTCAACCTAGAGGTCCAACGGGGTAAGCGGAAGGGGCGGGACACGAGCTCTATAGTGTTGTCTATCTATCTATCTATCTATCTATCTATCTATCTATCTATCTATCTATCTATCTATCTATCTATCTATCTATCTATCTATCTATCTATCTATCTATCTATCTATCTATCTATCTATCTATCTATCTATCTATCTATCTGTCTATCTGTCTGTCTGTCTGTCTGTCTGTCTGTCTGTCTGTCTGTCTGTCTGTCTGTCTGTCTGTCTGTCTGGTGAAAAATGAGATGCTATTATGTGCTAGTACTTGGCCTTTAAATAACTTTTAGGTAATTTTTCAGTGTGAATAGAAAAATTCATCTGTGGAATCATTTTCTGTCATTGCATTAGTTATCACCACTAGATGGCAGCATGTATAGCATTAGTGTTCTTGAATCTATGGGTTCTGCTCAACTGCCTGGAAAATATTAATAGCAGTTAGGGTAGATCAAGGAGGGTATTGACTTTTGGCATACTTCAAATAAAATAAATCACGGCATATTAAATTTCAACTTTATTTAAATATTATACATATTGGCCTATATTGATAAATATATTTGTATTTTATCACACATGAAGGTATAACGTTAGGCTACATTTTAACTGAAAGGTTTTGTTCTCAGGACACGGGACATTTTTCATAAAATTCAGGTCAGGCAAGCTATCACATAATTAAATGAGGCAAGTTGTCACTTTTTAAAAATATTATTATTAGGCTAGCCTACTATTATTTTACAATTTATTAATTAGGCCTATTACAGTAATACAACAATATTAATTCAATAACTTTTCGTCAAAATAATTATTTGATATTCTACTACATTTAGCTGTTTCATGAATGTTGCTGCAGGTTCTATTAATTATTCCTGCTAATATGTTCAGTACCTTTTTTGTAGCCAAGACTTTCAAAAGTAAACGTCTTGTTTCTCCCTACCTTTGAAATAAACCTACTTTCTTCATCACTGCAACATCCGCGCTTGTAACCGTAGTAACTAATCTGCATTGTAGCCCAGCCCCCTGCACACTGGTGTACTTGGCTAGATGCGGCGCTGTTTTCATCATGCTTGATATTTGAGACGCGCTCGCACTGATTCTTCCACAGAGAACCGGAGAGCATCGTATCCTCGTCTCGATCTCTCACGTTTAAGTTTTTATTTCAATCAGGGTGCAAGTGTTTGTTTTCAGAAACCGAGAGAAATGAGCGGAGTATCATTTCGAACGAGAGGCTAATACAATCGAAATTTGAATATTACTTATAATTAGCCTATTATTATGTTGCCCTCATACAGGAGCGATTGATTTTACTCTCCTTGCCAGAGTTAAATAAGCATCTGCCAAAAATAAAATAAAAACATTAATTTGGGAAATGGGGAGCACAGCCATGGATTCTAAGAAAGATGAGAAGAAAAATTCTAGAAAAAGAAGATCGCTTCGGATACACATGCCTGTAAGTTAATATCTGACGATACTGATTATCTTCTTCCACAGATTCAAAGCCAAAAGTTGTGGACATGGACTGGAACATGATACAGACACATAGCTACATTTAATTCACATTCTCTCTGCTCGCAATGGTTTCGCTGATAATATGAAATGAGCTGCAAATGGATTTGACTTATTTAGAAGGTAAGGCAAGATAGTGTTTTTGTCTTGTGTATACTGAATATATTCATATTTAAACTGTCTGTTTATCAAATCTGTCATATGTCACACTAAAAAGGTATTGCGATTTTATTCACATTTATTAAATAATGTCCTATGCATTTAGCCTATTTATTTATGAATTATTATTATTGTTGTTGCCACAGTCCTAAATATTTACTTTTACAGAAAAGTCCATGATGTCATAGGATATGGTTTTATAATAAGTGATGTGTTTTATGTTTTATTAAGAAATATGTCTCATATATTTATATAATTGTAAATTTTATTTTTGGTTTATATTAATTATTGTGAAATAACCACACACACACACATATATATATATGTATATTACACACACATTTATATATATATATATATATATATATATATAGAGAGAGAGAGAGAGAGAGTATTTTATTTGTCTGTTTTCAAATTATTATTATTATGAAGACAGATGCTAAACATACATTTCTGGTTCTCAGGATAATTAATGTCAGGCTCTGTTCTAAACAGCATACTCATTATATTCAAATCAAATCAACCACCTATCCACATAAATAGCAATGAATATGTTTTGACCTGCAGGTTGACCATATTTCTATTGGCCACACCTGACTCCAGTTAAGCATGGAGTCATCAACTCTAATGGCTTAAAGAACCATGACAATCAGTTAATGTGCGGTTTTCCTGAACAAATGGTCATGGAAACACAAAGGCTTTTTATGAACTAATACTGATCAGTGCTGATTCTGTTTAGAAACAGATGACAGATGTGACATTTTACACTACATCAGAGTTTCATCTTATTATTTAGCAAATAAAATAATATCATAGCATAATAAGTATTGTAATTATTAGTTTAAAAAGAAATCCCTGCACAACAATCAGTGTTTTGGTTCAGTCCGCTCAATGTGATGAAACCGTATGTCTGTTTGTTTCAGTGCTGGAGCCACTCAGTAATCACCTGCTAATTAGCTGTTTAGTGTCATTAACAGATGAGTGTCATTACTGAGTAATCCTATGAATATATACACAACATTTATCAGTAGGGGACACAGGTTCTGTTATCGCTGCATAATTTGTTGCATCGTGGCATTTTTGGCAGTGTCCTGACATTTTAACAGGTAGATGTGAAATATGTGCCATGGTTTCCTCTGCATTCGATTAAGTAAACAATCTTGAGCCATGTGATGTAGAGACGGACACTTTGAAAATGTTCCCTGAATGCTGATAAATCTCTTTATAGTGACTTGTTTTGAACAGATGGACATGAATGCAGGTTTTAAAGTTTTATGAATCTTGTATTGGAGGAGAAAATCAGGGCCGAGACCGTTCTTCATATTACTCATAAAATGTCCAATATCAACTCTGCAATATTGACATATGACATTTATGGTCAATCAAGTTTGAATTGGTGAACTATTAGGGTATATTTAACCACATTTACTGCTTTTAATAAATGTTGGTAAATAAATGACTGAACTAAAGGTCACAAAGCCAGCATTGTTACTATGTACACATTCTTTTGGATGTAATCCACCCGGGTGAACCCGCATGCACTTTTGTGTACATAAGAAATAGGTTCAGTGATTTCCCTACATTTTGAATTAACACAAAAACAGACACATGTATCTTTTTGATTGCTGTTTATGTTTGCTTTTTCAGTGGCGGGTTGCTAGTGAGATTGTTTCAATGTTGTACTAACTAGGCTATGTGAAAAAAGATGTGTGCTTAATGTTTTGAATGTGTAAATCTTATTTCAATCATGACAACTCTTTGATTAGTTTTAACATGTTATTGAATATGGCGATGTATTTGGTCTTGGTGGACTAGATCTGCTACGCTGTTGCTGCAGAGCAATATGGACTTGGTACTGCTAATAGATACTAGTGATGTTTGATTCTTGAATGTTCTTTTGAGCCAGTTCACTGCTCAAAATGAATCAAACTTTAGTTCAGTGTTGATGACGCAAGACGCACAGCCTAAGTAGCATGTCCAACTCATAAAGAATTGAATGAGCCGATTAAACCAATTGTCTAAGTTTGAAGATTACAATCTAATGAGTAATTTACGACACTTTGCAATGAGGCACATACACAGCAAAATCCCCAGAGTTAAATTAACTCTGCTCAGAGAACATTTGGTCCCTCTCTACAGAGAGTTAAAATAACTCTGAATCAGAGTTAAAGTTAATGAGATACTTAAGTGATTAATTAAGTGATGATTGGGCATTAATGATGAACACCTGCTGTCAACAAGCAGAATCACTGAAGGAAAGAGAAACAACAAGAACAGAAAAAAAGATAAACACAAGAACTACAGCTGACTTCTAGCCACAGCCTTAGATGAAATCAAATGTAGACAAAAGACATTAAATCTCTCTAGTTCTCAGCAGAGGAGGATTAAACAACTCCACAAACAGCATTACCAGCTCCACTTATTACTAACCAGACTGACTTTATTT